ACTGTTGTGCATGTCGGGTCCTTCTATTGGTTATGGTCTGTTCTCTCAGTTCTTGTTGATAAGCTAGCTTATCTTCATCTGTTACTATTCCATTATAGTGCAGTCTTTGCTCATCTGTGAGTGCTGCCGTAAATGCCTGAGTGCCGGCCTCGGGAAGATCGGATATGTCCAGCAGATCGGACCAAGAAGCCAACAAACGCTTCTGTGCGATCTCAAATCGCCCTATCCAGTGCACGAATTCACTCTGGCCTCGATATGTGCGAAACATCTGGAGGAATCGCCAAAGGAACACATGATTTACTCCCTTCACGAAGTATGGTCTCAATGTGTCCTTGAAATGAGCGAGGCCACGATCCGGATCTCGGAGTAAGGCATTATCGAGCATCGACTTATAAAAAGAAGCGGAACCAATGAGGGCATTCTTTAATGATGGTCCGTGCTTATCTGCATCCAATGTTGTGATCCCTAACCAGTCATCAATTAAATCTTCATATTCAAACCAGCTTGATTGGCCATCAAATTGGGGTGGAACCTTCGGTGTCATTTTGATGCCCATCCGGTTTTCGGAATGACTGGTAGCGGCATATGCTTCAGGCTCTTCATAAGAGACAATCTGGAGTTGTTCTTCATCTGAATCCATGTTGTGGATTAAGACCATGGCAGCTACTCTAACTTGACCTACAGGTTGCCTCCGCAAGTCCGATATACGGAATGTATGCAGAGAACGGCAGTTCGGCACACAGATCTAGACTTGGCGAAGGCACAGGCTCCGCTACCACTTTGAGGTAGCTTTCCCCTTTAAGGGAGCCCTGGAAACCTAAGTAAACACCTGTGGCAAGCAGAAGCGACTACACTCTTTTTGTACACGCGGAATTGCTGCTAGTCTTGAGCCATGCGGAGTGCGCATGAAAGATATGAATTAAGTATACATGTCAACATGCATGACAGCATTGTGTAGACACGTAAACAAAAATAAATCACAGGGGGTCTTTGACGAACCCTGTGGCCCAATCCCCTCCCCCGCTCAAAAAGAAGAAGGGGGGGGAGGGGTATTTAATGGTAGGGGGGGGGTCTTCTTCCGAAGGGGGGGAAGGGATCTTCTTTGGAAGGGGGTGGGCGACAGCCAGCCGCGGCCCAGCGGCGGCCACGCGCGCAGCAGCTCCTGCAGAAGGCTCTGTGTACTGCGCCTGCCACACGAAAGCCAGCTGTGTGATGATGAGTTGTGCTGTCACAAGTGGTGTGATGAGTTGTGCAGTGCAGCTGTGTGTGCAGTGCAGCTGTGTGATGATGAGTTGTGCTGCCACAAGTGGTGTGATGAGTTGTGCTGTGCAGCTGTGTGATGATGAGTTGTGCTGTGATGAGTGAGCTGTGACAGTCCAGCTGTGTGATGATGTGCTGTGATGAGTGAGGTGTGATAAGTGGTGCTGTGATGAGTTGTGATGAGTTGTGGTGTGATGAGTGAGATGTGATGAGCGGTGCTGTGATGTGACAAGTGATGTTGTGATGTGATAAGTGATGTTGTGATGAGTTGTGATGCGGCAGGGCGGGCGGACGCGAAAGCGGCGGGTGCAAAGCGAAAAACAAGAACCCCACACAGTGATGTGGGAAAAAAAACAAAATTGGACGATTTTCCAGCACAGTGTTTGATTTTCCATCCCACAGGGGTTTTTGGAATGTTTCCAGGCGAGGGATGCCTCAAGCAGGACTATGATCCAATCCTGGGAGTGTCGTGGAAACCATGGAGCCTGTCAAGGTGGCACTCATTGAAGCCCCAAATGATCACAGCAATACCAAAATCCATGACTGCACTTCTCAGCGCACTTGAAAAAGCATCTAAACATGAAAAAGAGGGAACATAGGAGTAATCATATGGAGTAATTGCATAAGTACCCAAGTGCCCCACCGGCGCCCATGGTTTCCTGCTAATTCACGGAGCCACGATTCCTCCCATCGAATCACAGGGCCGCGACAAAGGCTGCTTTCCCTGTCCTAGCATGCAGCGATCGAATTCCACCACTCCATGATGGCGGTGGCGCTTTTCAGGAGGAAACTACCCCAGGCATTAGGGAATCAAGATATATCAAGATGAATCAAGTTGCACGGCACATCAATTTGCATGGCACCGCGACCTGACGACAGTGTACCCTACAGGCTGCCAGTGTGAATGACATCGGGCAACCTTGTCAGAACCCACCAGGAGATTTCTTGTCAAAGTTTCAGCAGGGATGCGACATTCTCTGTCCTATACAAGGAGTCAGTCACCACCCGTTTATTTCCTACGGATGTTCCGAACTTCAACCGTAAAGTGTTTTTCATACCTCGCTCCCATCAAAACCCCTGATATGCTGGGCACTTGGCACCCAAGCGCAAAAAAAAGCGACGGGTCTCTGTCATATTTAATTTTGAGTGGTACTCCTCACTTGAGACTTTACACTCCACACTCCACACTTTACACTCCACATTCCTCACTCTACACTTTACACTCCACACTCTACACTTTACACACTCCACACTCCTCACTCCTCACTCCACACTCTACACTCCACACTCCTCACTTTACACTCCACACTCCACACTCTACACTTTCCACTCCACACTCCACACTTTACACTCCACACTCCACACTTTACACTCTACACTCATCACTCCACACTCCACTTTTTACAATCCACAGTCCTCACTTTACACTCCACACTTCACACTCTACACTTTCCACTCCACACTCCACACTCCCCACTCCACACTTTAGACTTCAAACTCCACACTTTACACTCCTCACTCCACACTCTACACTTTACATTCTACACTCCACACTCTACACTTTACACTCTACAGTTTGCACTCTACACTCCACACTCCACACTCCACACTTTGCACTCTACACTCCACACTTTACATTTTACACTCCACACTCTACACTCCACACTGCACTTTCCACTCCACACTCCACACTCTACACTTTACACTCCACACTCCAGACTTGACACTTTACAGTCCACACTCCTCACTCCACACTCTACACTCCACACTCCTCACTTTACACTCCACACTCCACACTCCACACTCTACACTTTCCACTCCACACTCCACACTTTACACTCCACACTCCACAATTTACACTTTACACTTTACACTCCACACTTTACACTCCACACTCCACACTCCACACTTTACACTCCACCTTCCTCACTTTACACTCCACACTTCACACTCCACACTTTCCACTTCGCACTCCACACTTTACACTCCACACTTCACACTTTACACTCCTCACTCCACACTCTACACTTTACACTCTACACTCCACACTATGCACTTTACACTCTACACTGCTACACTTTACACTCTACACTCCACACTTTACATTTTACACTCCACACTCTACACTCCGCACTCTACACTTTCCACTCCACACTCTACACTTTACACTCCACACTCCACACTTTACACTTTACACTCCACACTTTACACTTTACACTCCACACTCCTCACTCCACACTCTAGACTCCACACTCCTCACTTTACACTCCACACTCTACACTTTCCACTCCACACTCCACACTTTACACTCCACACTTTACATTCCTTACTCCACACTACACTCCACACTCCTCACTTTATACTCCACACGCCACACTTTACACTTTACACTCCTCACTCCACACTCCACAGTCTACACTCGACCTTCCTCACTTTACACTCCACACTCTACACTTTACACACGCCACACTCCTCACTTTACACTCCACACTCCACACTTCACATTCTACACTTTCCACTCCGCACTCCACACTCTACACTTTACACTCCACACTCCACACTTTACAGTCCCCACACACTCCACACTCTACACTTTACACTCCACACTCTACACTTTACACTCTTTTCTTTACACTTTCCACTCTACACTCCACACTCCACACTCTACACTTTACACTCCACTTCACACTTTACACTTTACACTCCTCACTCCACACTCGACACTCTACACTTTACACTCCACACTGTACACTTTACACTCTACACTTTACACTCTACACTCCACACTCTACAATTTACAAACTCCACACTCCTCACTCCACACTCCACACTCCTCACTTTACACTTCACACTCCACACTTTGCACTTTACACTCCTCACTCCACACTCTACACTCCTCACTTTACACTTCACACTCCACACTTTGCACTTTACACTCCTCACTCCACACTCTACACTCGACACTCCACACGCTACACTCCACACTCCACACTTTACACTCCACATTCTACACTTTCCACTCCACACCGCAGACTGGGAACAGGGGAAATATGAACAAGACTGTTCAAATAAACTATTGCAGAAAAGTGTTGTGCGTCACTGCATATCCATGTGTTTTGACATCTGTGCCATTAACATACGTGTGAGCATTCGGGTTTGTGGGCTTCATCTTGTTTTTTGGGCAACATCGGGCAACCATGGCTGTTCCCATCAGATCCGACCCGTCATTTTTCTAGGGCCACAACGGAGCCTCGGATCGTGTCCGGTTTTTTATGGTCAAGTTACATGGGAGAGTTTCGTAAAACGATGCAATGACCAGACGACATAGTTTCCTTTAAAAAAAAAGTAAGATGGGGATGGGTCAAAACCTTGTACCCCTGGTGAACATCAAAATAGCTGGTAAATGGATGTTCATCCCCCTAAAAATGGTATTAATAGGTATTGATCCATAGCCAGATCTGAAACTGTGGTACTCCCAAATCCAATGGTGTTTCCAATCATTTTGCCATGAAGAGAATGGTGGTTCATCTTCATTTTTCCATCAGTGCCAGACTGCCGGACTTTGGGATATACTCATCGATTAGTAGGACAACCCCTGGGGATGCAACCTGTACTTTTTCCATGATTGGTTGGTCCTGTCCTGGATCACATTAAAATCTGTGGGTTAAAAAAAAACATGTTTGATGGTTAGATCATCTCAAATCCCCTTTTTGGGGTTATATATAATAAATCAATGTAAATCATGAAAAAACAACATGTTTTGATGCTTCAAGCCTCATTTCTTGATGGTTAAGTCCCATTTCTTGATGGTCCACGAAACAACACCAGCCCCCCCAGGCCGTCCGGGTGCCTTGTTGTACCAAATAGCGAGGCGAGCCAGGCATGAAGATGCCGCCAATCACCAGCATGATGCCAGGGACGATCCTAGGATCTGAGCCATGGCAGATACCATCAGTAGGGTTAGAACCAGAACCTGGTTATAACTCAGATTATGACAGATTATGGTTAGATCCATTAATGATGTTAATATGATAAAAAGTGTTTTGAACTCAGATTATGGTTTATACATATTTATACAACCATCAGTTCTAGATGGGGAGGTTCAGAACCACAACTCACTTATAGATGGAATCTGTGGTTCAGAACTATCATCGGATTGTGCTTCAGGAATCGGATCTGTGGTTTTGAGGGTGCATCACTTATAGAGGGGGAGTAAAAGAAAAAAACCTTAAGCCACAAGATAGCCACAAGTAACTACAGCAACTAGTCATTTGGGGATCGGTTCCCTCCTTGGGGGTATTTGAGGCATATTTCAAGATAGGGGATGAGATTAATACGATACTCCAAATTGTCCCGATTAGTGGGGAGCGATTGTAAAGCAAGGGTCACAGTGCTTAAGGCAGTGAAAGATCCCTTGCTTGGATGTATGTATGTATATGTATATATATATAATTATATATAGGGGGTTCCATAAATGGGGGTACCCCTATTTCAGGAAACCTCCATATACACATTATATACTGAACACATAATTGTCACCTATATGCATACAATAGGAATCAAGACAGGATTGGAGATTTCAATGGTTTATTTGGGGAGAAGTATAAAAAACATCGCTAAAGATTGAGCTCCTAATGGACCCTTGAAAATCTGCTGCATCACCCGTGCTTCCTCTTGATATCTCTTGATTAAATCCGCAGCAGGCCACATTCAAAGGACAAATGATACATATATTATGTGTTGAACCGAAGGAAGTGATTTGAGGTTACTGCACAAGGCAAGGCGGATCCTACTTCATTTTCCATTCCCTGACCCTTTTCCATGAATGACCTCGTTTTCAAACGCTGCGCTGAGTTCTTGCCTTTTCTGCATGTCAATCTTATCTACTTCGTTTTTTTATGCGAACCCACCTCATTTTGCAGCTAGTTTGGGGGTAGAAAGTATTTCCCGAAGACTATTGTTGTGCACAAAGTATCAGTAGAAAAGCAGTTGCTCTTATAAATATATCAGTGCAGGCAGTGCAGGTGGACTCGGTCTACAGTGAAGCTGGTAAGCCATCCATCCCGCTCCAACCACCAGTCAAGCCGTAGTCCAACCGTAGTGCTACAAATTCATTGAAGATCTGGCTGGTGGTTCAAACCCACCAAGCTCGGCATCAACGCACCTCAACCTGTGCCATCTCCCGTCATTTTTCTTGGTTATTATCACACATGGCGAAAAAATTGGTACTTGAAAATGACAATCATCAATCATCATCTGGGGAAAATGACATAAAATGACCATCATCTGGGACTCAATTTTTGAATCTCGACCCATTTTTCGGAATGTTTTTCACCAATTCAAAAAAACGCGGGGCTTTCGAAGAACTCCGCCCTTCACCCGGTCTTCTGAACTCGGCCCATCTGCTGTGCCGCGATGACCCATCGCCATCCGCCATAGGGTTTCTCGACATCTTCCAAGACCAAGGCTAGGAGAAAGGCGATCATGATACCCACCTGGGTATCACGCGGAAAAAAAAATACATCAAATGCATGGTTTTTAATGGTAAGTTTATATATTGCTATTAGGATTTATGATGGATATTAGTTTACTATACAATTCAATTCTATAATTCAAAATGGCGGAGAAAATTAGGTTCGTCCCCTAGCGGTAATGAAGGTCTTGCACACCCCTCAGCAAGGCTAAGGCGAAGCCAGACTGAATTCGGATTACAATGATTTTGCCGGTTGCTCATATACACATATATATATATTGTACTATATTATACAGTCGGGTGGGGTTATAAACTGACAATTTGGAGGCACTTCCTGTATGTGTACCAGGATGAAAGGAGGGTTTCGCCTACCATTTTTTTGGTGCATCACCTGGCCCATTCGGAATCGTCTCCAATGACCATCTTTTGTGAGTTGGATGTGTATATATATATATATGTTGAATGATGCAAAGTCCTTGTATCAGAGAGTGCTTTGGTGCAAAACACTGAAATGATGAAGATGATGAAGACTCCAAGTTGGCAGGCTACCTGCTAAGTCCTGCTACCTATTCCACTTCATCACCAGATTTCACCACTGCCATTGCAGTGATTCTAGAAAAACATGTTTAATCATGGTTCATCGCATCTCACTATTAAATGCCCAGAAATACAAGGTGCTGCCAGCTAAGTTGGTTTATAACTCTAATGACTAGGACTTATGGTAGATATATGATATAATATATATATAGTATGGGTATGGGTTCATAAACCAACAAGCATCACTGGAGGGGTCACCCATATATGCCCAATGAGGTCCACCCAGTGCTGAACAAATACCGTGATGGCGAACTGGAACCCCGTGACCAGCGCGCCGCGCAGCGCAGGGGGTGCGATCTCGCTGGTGTAGACCGGGGCGTTGCCCGACAGCAAACCCACTGAGAAGCCGGCGATGATGCGACCCAACAGCATCATTGCCATGTTGATGGCCTTAGCAAAACATGGGGTGGGCATGTGACTCTCCCCCCATGATTTGGCCCATCTGTGCAGATTTTCCGCTACCAACCCAGTGATAGAAACAAAAAAGACAGCAGGGGTTCACAGACAGTTCGTTCAACCAGTTTCGGAAATATACAGACTAAGCTGCTGGTTGACTTGAACATCTGTGGAAACAGCATGAAACAGTGGCGTTACAGTCATGCACTGTCATATGTTCTGTCAATTGGGAAATCTTCACAGCTGCATAAAAAATGGTTTTCCAACCAGGATATTGGTCAGAACATGTTGCACATTCCTCCCTTTTCTAGCCATCTCCAATCCATCTCCTAGTTTTCGACCCATGTTTCCAACCTTTGGATCCTTCGGATCCTTCGGCTGAGGCGCTAGAGCCTGCAGTGCAGCCCCTAGGCAGAAGACGAGGCCTCCGAAGATCACGGCGCCCTTCCGGCCCAGCTTCGAGACGCAGCAATCCATGACCGGTGGAAAGGCCGCCACGGCGGCACCCACTCCGAAGATCATGGTGATCAAACTGTCCTGGATCTGGATGTCTTCTGCATGTCCGGGGGAGAAAGGTCTTTTGGACCGGTTTTTTGGATCGGAAAAGTTCATGGCATCGTTTTTTGAGAAATGAGAGAGATTGGCGAGGGGAACTCTAGGACTCTAGGGATGAAACATGTTGAAACATGCTGAAACCAAGAATGAATATGGCTGAGTCCAAGATCGAGTCAGGGAACCAGTGAAAATTGGGACAAACATGCGCCAACAACAGAAAATATGGAATGACTTGAATAGGAGATATGTGCTTCTTTGCTGCATGTAAAAAGAGATCTGCAACTGAGATCTGAATCTCGTTTGATTCAAGATGGCTGAGGGCCGTTTTGGGTGGCCATCTATAGGTGGTAGCCCCTTGTTTGGGGGCAGAGAAGAGATGAAAGGATTCACTGCCCTTTTTTATCTGGTTTTCATGATTACAACAACACGCTTGACTCGAAAATACTCGAAGTATGTTTAAGAGCCATTGACAACATGACTGCATGGTTGATGGCTCACGGACCTATTCCCTCATTCCAAAAATACCTGTTGGAACCTGCTCGTCTTTCAAGCCCTGGCTTGGTTTATGGGAAATATGCACAGGAAGCCGTGAGTTTGACCAAAAATATCGGGGCGTCCTGCGGATTTGCCCTTGAACCAATTCTGTAATCTGGATGGATCTGGAATGATCTGGATATATCTCAGCCCAAAGGGATGTTTCTTTGTTTTTTTTTCGGTGCTCCTGGGTGTCTTTGATCTTCTCCTCATGAAGCAAACCCTCAGAGAAGGAATCCATGGTCCTCAGCTGACATCTGGTTGAAATGAGGCTTTCCTCCATTGTAATAGGATGTTCAATTATAAACCATCCATTTTGGGGTACCTCAGGTACCTCCATTTATGGAAACCCCCAAATCTGTTGAAACATTCGACCACTCGACGTATCTGAAGAGGGCGGTGGGACTTCTGCAGCGTACCACTTCTTGGAGAAAGCAGAGGGTCAGAAATTCCGCTTCCAGGCTCTGCAATTTGCCGCTTCCAGATTTGTCATGGTTTGTCTAGGCAATTATCCTAAGGTCACTTCCCCTTTCAAGTTTATCTATCCACAATATATCCATATTCTTAGCGCTTGCAGCCGTAAGGTTGTTAGGCGAGCCACTTGACTCCCGCGATGTATCCGATATCCAAACCCATCAGCAAACCTGCCTAAGTCGGGCCAGCATGTTGCAATTCCACCTAGGTTGTAGATAGAAAATCGATTAAAGAAATTCGCTAATCGCAGATGGTTGGTTGCAAAAAGGGCCCACAAAAGAAGCATCGTCCTTCTTCGTTTGCAAAATCGCTTAATGCGCCTGCACGACCAGTCTTTCTTGAGAGGGGACCATATGCTCATATGCTCCAATCAAAAGTATACAAAAGTCGTTTGGACACATGATTTTTCGTTGCAAGATTTGTTTACTAGCAGGTTCTTACTGGTGCTTAGTAGGGAATTTTCGGGAATGATCCACAATAACGATCAAGAATCATCCCAGCAACCCCCAGCAACCCATCCATTCCCTGCGTTTAGCACCAGTATTAGCACCAGTAAGGGCTCCCAGGGCCCCATGGGATCAGTTGCCAGAGATGAGAAGACTGCAACTGCCACCACCATGGAGATACCGCCACGACCGTGAAAGGCATCCGGAGAGTTCTCCTGGAAGTTACCCGGCTCCCCGGCGATTTCAGCAGAAACTGGATACAGATCGAGTGTCAAGCATATTTACATCAAAATTGACTTCTAACATAACTAAATAAAACTAAATATAGTATCAAAAAATTATGTGTATATTATATTTATATATATACCGCGAAAATAAAAAGTCATTTACATTCATTGACCACTTTCCACCGAGAATCAGATTATATATATATATATGTTTCTAATACATGTATATATATATATACATAATTATATAAATTAAGTATAAGTATTTACGAAGTTTATTATAGAACATCTTCATCTTCATCCATAAGTCTCCTTTTTGACGTCACCCCCTCAGCTCAGTTCCATCAGCTCCTCGATCCCTGCTTGCTTCAAAATCACCTCGACCTCCCCTTGAGATAAAGATGGCCTAGCGATGGTGAAAATATGGAGGTTTCCTACGTCAAGGGGGTGCCCTTATAGCTGCATGGTTTATGATGGAAAAGTCGAAAATAAAATGGATGATTTGGGGATCCTCCCATTTTAGGAAACCTCCATATTGTAGGAATAGAATGGGAACATGTTAGGTGGGATATACCGGGATATACCATCTTCAACCGACATCCATCCCCATTTTCATAGGAATCGAATGGATTAATCTATGAAGGACTGAAAAAAAACCATAGGAAGAAAATCAGGGATGAACCTTTACAGAATAGAAAATATGATTGGGATTGATTGGGTACATAGCCAATATGTACCAATAAAACTGGTGGTTGAGCGGCCCCTGAAAATCGGAAAGTGGGGATCATCAGCCTATTTGTCGGACCAACAATCATACAGGACCATATGTTTTTTGTTTTTCTTTAATGGCAATAAACTGGGAAAAATTGACATTTATGACATGAAAATTGACATAACACCATAATAAATTAATAAATGTCATTAGTGATTATCAGTGATAATTTATCACCAACAACTTGACAACCTGGTTCTGAAATTTCTGGGAAAATCCCATGGCCATAATATCGAGGGCATCCCGGATGGCAATTTCTAGACCAGTAGGCCCACAAAGAGCTGATCACTGTTAGTATCATGGGCATCAGGTGGGGTTGAACATGTTGAGCATGGTGATTGATTTTTAGCATCCCAAAAAGACGTCAACCGCTAATCCAAAAAAGACACAAAATTGGATCCATCCAATCAAATTTGGATCTTTAGCAAACACAAAAACCGAAGTGCTGCATCACCTGCCTTGAAGACTTGTCAACCACTGCAACTGGCGCCATGGCGTAGGCGATAGGATGCCCGAGAACACGTGAGGGAAATGTCGAACTGAAAAAGGCTTCAGGCACAGGCCAAGGGGTACATCTGAAAAAGCGAACTTAGTGGTTAGTTGATGTTAGTTGGTGGTTGAGCCACCCTCCCCCAAAAAAAATCATGTATAATAGTAATAGCATGTAATAGCAACCCCCAAAAAAAAAAGAAAGTAAATGATCACTTCGTCTACCAGCTGTCTTATGGCCATGCAATTTGGCCAACTGCTTCCGTCTTGTGCAAAACATTCCGATACTCCAAGCCTAGTAAAAATGTGTTGGCTAATGTGGGATTCACCCTGGCTGCCATAAGCCTACCGTTTTGGGATGGTCTATCAAACATCCCCTGTCAGTGCAGTGGCAAATCAAACATGTACCCAAAGCATGTGCATGATACTCTGGGTGACAAGTGACGAGTACATAATAATTACCTAGTAGATTACATTTTAATACACGCTCCCAAGGGTCATCATCGCAAATCCGGAAGATCCTATAGAATCAGATTCTCATGAGACGTTCATTTTTTGCGCAAAAACTCGTGCGCTCTCTTGGCAAATCCAAAAGCGGTCTTCCGCCGTGCCGGCAGCCGCTTCACCCTTGTGCGCTTGCCCCCCACACAAGCGTCCAATACTCCCACCTGGAACCAAACAATGAATCTTTTGTTGCAAGCAGGAATGGTATGAAACAGCCTTTCTCCAGGTCCAATCCTTTCAGAAAGCAAGTTGAAACAATCCATGGTCATTGTCTGGATCCAGTTGCGGGAGTCGATTAGAAATCACGAAAAACTCTTGAAACTTGAAACCTGAAACAAGAATTGAAATCACTGCACCTGTTAAGTACTAGTCAGGCGCTTCTACCATGCAACAACCAAGCCCATTCAGAAGGCCGGCTGCCAAAAGCTTGCAAGTCGCCAGAATCTAAGAGCGGGTTAGGGCCTGTGTCAAGCAGCTACTCCTCGATTTCCAATCTGTAGTTTCTAGTTGGTGTTTTTGCTCCAAAAGTACAAGATTAAACTAAACCATATTCAATCATATCAAAGTTCAAACAAACAACCACCCAGGTTGCAATAGTCGTGGTGGAGCCCGGCCGAAGGATGTTTAGAAGTCAAACTTCCGACAGTATGGGCAGATGAAACGCAGAGATGGGAAGAGTCAGAGAAGAGAAAAAAAGATGATCAAAGAAGAGAAAGTCTCAGAAGAAAAAAGATCCAGGTGCGCGAAAAGGTAGGAAAGTCGCGAAACACTGTGATTTGTGGCTCTGGAGGGTGGAAAAGTAGGCTCGCTAAAGCGGCGGGTGCGGAGCCATCTGGCCAGATGAGGGATGAAAAGTTGCACGCCATTGTGGCGCGAAGCACATTTCCAAGTCAAAATGTACAAAACACCTCAGCCGCGGAGCACTTTTAGAAGCTGAGATGTCAAAAAAGCGCGCGCCGCTGTGGCGCGAAGCACATTTCCAAGTCAATATGTCGGAGCACTTTTGGAAGTTGTTGTGGCGCAAAGCACATTTCGAAGTCAAAATGCACAAAACACAACATGTTCGGACCACTTTTGTTGAGATGTCGAAAAGGTGCACACCGTTGTGGCGCGAAGCACGTTTCGAAGTCAAAATGTGCAAAACACGCCATGCTCGGACCACTTTTGGAAGTTGACATGTCGAAAAAGCGCACGCCGTTGTGGCGCGGAGCACATTTCCAAGTCAAAAGTGGAAAAAACAGAGGGGTACGGAGCACTTTTGGACGTTCAGATGTCGTTTTCCGTGGCAGGCGCAGGGGATTGTGCGCCTTGTCAAAAGTGAGCAAAACGTGAGGGTTTTGTAGCACTTTCAAAAACGATGGCAGGCGCGGGACACTGGAAAGATGCATTTCGCATGGCAAGCGCAGTACAAGAGACATGTTCATGAGAGATGTTGGGAGGTCAGGGCGGAGATTTCCTGAGAGGGTTGCATTTTGGAGCATGAGATCTTCAGGTTTGGGAAGATGATTTTGCGTGACAGGTGCAGCACTTTGTATGACCTGGCTTCACTTTTTCCGGGCAGGCGCAATACTTTAGAGACACAACTGGAAAAATCGCAAAACGCATTGGTACGAGGCCATCAGCTCTGCACTCAACTTTCCATTTTTCAAGGATGTCTCGCAGAATTGCTTCGTTTTTGATGTTGTCAAGTTTAAAAATTGAGGAAGTCTCGCAGAATTGCTTCGTTTTGGATGTTGTCAAGTTCAAAAATTGAAGAAGTCTCGCAGAATAGCTTCATTTTCAAGTTTGCAGGTAGACAGACAGACAGACAGACAGACAAGATAGATAGATAGATAGACAATTACAACTACAACTACCACTACACTACACTACACCACCGCTACAACTACAAATGCAAATAAACTACGCTAAATACACTAATTACACTACACTACACTACACTACACTACACTTTATACACTAATTGCATTTAATTACACCACACTACACCAATTACACTACAGCAACAACTACAACAACAACAACTACTACTACTACTACTAATAATAATAATAATACTAATAACACAACAACGACTACAGTTACAACTACACTACGCTACACTAATTACACTGCAGTACACTACAACTACAAATACAACTACAACTACAACCACACTACATTACACAACACTACACTAGACTGATTACATTGCATTACACTACAACTACAACTGCAGCTGCAACTACACCTAAAACTACCCTACATTACAGCTTACACTACGCTACACTGCGCATACTACACTACACTAATTACACTGCACTACACTACAACTACAACTGCACTAGCTTACACTACATTAGACTACACTACACTATACCACACTACACTACACAACACTACACGACATTACACTGCACTACACTACACTAATTACACCACATCACGACTACAACTGCAACTGCACTTGCAACTACACTGATTACACTATATTACAACTACAACTCCACTACACTACACAACACTACAACTACAGCTACAACTGCCACTACAACTACAACTGCACTACACCACACTATATCCAGCAGTTGTGGTAAGGTGACCACTGCAACCATTGCAACCATTCCAAAAAACACAACTCCAACCACCTGTCGGTCCACCAGTGGATTCGCTCTGCCATCCGTGGTTCACAACAAACAACCTCTTCTATAGGTTTCCTATTTTTGAAACTTCCCCCACCGCCTTGTGCGGTATTACTGGTACTTTGTAATCCCAAACAAGCGGCTGCCTGCGTTCTGGGCACTCAGCCCACTTGGGATATAAATCGAATTTCAATACTTCGGGCTAAAACAATCCCTGTTGTCAAAGGCTCCATTCTATAAATTTGTGGGCCTTCCGATGGGTACCATTGCAACCTCACTATGGAATCCAACGGCCATATACTAGGTTTCCTGCATCGGAAGCATAGGGATGACAGTAAACTTCAGTAAACTTCATGAAAGAATCACTTGATGAATAAATGGTGCTGGTCGCCACTTTCTGGAAACAGTGAGTCATGAGCATAATTTTGTCTATCTTTCTGAAGCATGTGTTGTGGTGATAGTGACACACACACCCATCTCAAAGACCGGCCCAGCTGTATACAGGATATTCCCAAGACATGTTCATCGAGCTGGTCGCAGGGCGAGAAGATAGGGCTCTGCAAAAATTGTGTCAAATCGTGCAGGAAGACTTGCAAAAGTCCTCAAAATAGCTTGGGTCCATCATTTTCTATCCTTTGCCATCATTTCAAGCCACATCAACAACGTCCTCCTGTACAATGCAACCAACGTCGCCTCAAAAATGTGCTGAGCTTTACACATTTGAGCGCAGTTTTCAGCAGCTCGGTCTACGCATCCACCGAATCCACGTCGGCGTCTTCGGTGGCCTTGCACTCGCCTGCCACGGAGGATACACCAACAAATGCGGGGCACTGAAGTCAGGGTCGAAAGGTCAAACAGAACTTTGAATGCTTACTGTATTATTGGTTATTACAAATTTTGAAAAGTACATTGTCATATATTATTGGTGATTGTTATATACGTATGCGGGTTTACAGTTTGAAGTGGAATCTGATGAATTCTTGCAAATACAATAATAATTATATAATACAAAATATATGATGAGAAAATGTGGTGAGAGATCGGTACAAATCAAAAAAACTTGGTGCGGGACTTTTTGGATAAAAATAGTACTTGATGCATAATTATAAATTATTCCAAAAGAACGCATTTCTGGAGTCACCATAGGAGCATTTCCCCGTGTGAAGGTGACGACTCTGACTGTTTTATTCTTGAGGATCAAACAAGTTCGAAGATGGGTGGAGTTTGAGATACCCTCTGGTAATTCAACCAATGGAAAATCCCTAAACTATCCCATGTATCAGTGATTTTGCCATCAACCTCCCAATTTTGTGGGACATAGGCGCCCCCGAGATGTCTCTCTTGGGTCAGGATCGCTTAGGCCAGTACGAAAAGATCACTTACTGTAGGGCTGGTTACTTTTTTACCTGAATGATTAAGACCTTTGGATTCCTTTGGGGTTGTGGGTTAGGGTGGGACATGGGGGAGCGGCAGACCAGGGAGCATGGGGACCTTTAGGGTGGGACGTGGGGACATTCGATGCCATGACTTGAAACTACAGTCCACATTTGAGCGCTTGGTTCATCTCTCTCTCTCTCTCTATGATGCCCAATCATAGATACACTTCAAAGAAAAAAATTAGCTGGTTGGTCTATATATATATATGTGTGTGTGTGTTCTTCTGAGCTGTTCTGGATTGTTGAAGCTGCAAGCTGTTCTGCATCGTTTTGCTACTCTTGGGGGTTACCCCTATGGCCTCCCTGCCCCCCCGGTTTAAGCCTACTTCAAACGTTGTCATGAGGGGGTATCCAAAAAAATGATCCAAGTCCATCTGCCTATAGCACAAAGGGATAGTACATTTATTGACTCCCCCTACTTATTTATAATATATATATACATATATATATATACATATATATATATATATACATATATATATAGATATATATATATATACATATATATATATACATATATATATAGATATATGTATGTGTATATATATATATAATTATATAATTATACACATAATTATATATAGTGATTGTAGTGAATATGTAGGGTGTAGCTATACGTTGGAATTGGGTTATTGTACTCTACATTTTTGGTGTCTCCCGGGTCCCTTGGCTTCAACCTGGGTGGAACCAGTGGTTGAACATCAAGGTAATCTCCTCTAAGCTCTTGTCCTGTGCCGCGTGGGAAAAATGGATCTGGGATGCAACTAGGCAACAAAACCGTGGATTTGGGGTGTACCTGCATGAGGAATACACCCCGGCCACATATTCATGGGGGAAATGATAGTACTATAGGCTTTAATTAAGCCAATACATTTAGGGAGGTGCCAAATTTTCAGACACAGCCACATTTTGTGCGATGCTCAGAAACGGATAGGAATGCAGGATTTACCCAGCGAATTTGTGGGGATTTAAGCCTCAGAAATAGGGAAAAAATAAACTCCAATGAGCAATGGATATGGGTTCGCCTCAAAATGAGGGAGATCCAGAAATTGGCATTCAAACATGAGGAAAGTATGGGAAGATGATCAAATTAAGTGTGATCTACCTGTGGAGTTCCTGGCCGGCCAATCATTTAAACAGCCGGAAGTACATATTTCAGGATCTGATACACATTTAAACAGTCGGAAAAATATGAAATAAGCTTCGGTGGTATCCCCAACAGCCGCAACGGTTTATCCTTACAAATCTTTCTGAAGCATGCTGCGAAGCCAAGCGCTGGAAACACCTGAGCGTGCTCCAAAGCCTCCCAGACCTTCTCCGGAACCTTTTCCTCAACTCTGTTGAACCTGACCTGGCTCTGCACCAAAGCCTCCCGGAACCTTCTCCGGAATCTTCTCCGGACCTGGCTCTGCACCAAAGCCTCCCAGACCTTCTCCGGCACTGTCTCCGGAACCCTGTTCAAACTAACCGGGCTCTGCACCAAGCCTCCCAGACCTTCTCCGGAACCTTCTTCGGAACCCTGCTGAACCTGACCTGGCTCTGCACCAAAGCGGCCCAGACCTTCTCCGGAACCTTCGGAACTTTTTCCGGAACCTCGTTGAACCTGACCCGGCGCCTGCACCAGTGCACACCGGAGCTAATTCTGGGCTGAAGACCCCATTAGCTTACGTTCTGGGCTGAAGACCCCATTAGCTTACACTGTTCGGGAGGTGATCCCGGTACAATTTAAATGTTGTCACTATCACCGTAGGTTTTGGGCTCCCAAAAGAAGACCATGATCAGTCCCCAGTTGACATTGGAAGAAGTATACCAAAACGATGAAAATCCCATCCCCCTTTTATACGGTTAGGAACGTTTACACCCCCCTGAAAGCATGGTGGTAACAAAGGGGAAGGGTGTTGAATATGAACAGGGGATGGGATGAAATGAGCAAACAACGTTTTGGAACCTTCCAAACGTTTGGCCCAATCTTGGTGCTCTGCCGCACCTTGGTCTCTGGCAAAGACATGGCGCAGAAGAGGCAGAGACAGTTGGTGCCAACGAAGACCCAAAACGTGTTGAAGCCCCAGTTGGCAAACATCAACGGTGGCAGGAAGGCAATCAAAATGTTGCCCACCTGAGGAACCACATCGCGGTTGTGGCGGGAACTTGAACAAAATGAATAAGGCACACTATTCATACCATGTGGTGATTTAACATAGCTATGGAACATGGTTCATTTAATGATGATTAACATGATGATTTACCGAACTTAAAAGGTGATTGTCCAGTGCGCAAACCGTTAAATAACAAGAGGGTACAACTCCTGAATGGATGTTCTGCAGCTGATGTGTCACTTCTGTGTCGGCAGGCGATTCAAAAGCACGTTCAAGTGCAACCAGATGGTGTTTAAGCTAAAGATCCCAGTGAAATCTGTTTCACGCAAAGCTTTTCTTTCATCAATCGGACTCAAGTCGGTGAAATTTCTGTATCAAATGCTATGCCCATGACAGAACAAAGGGGCTCACAATGTCAAGCCAGCTTGGGTCGTGCGACAACATGAGTTTCTGGGCATGCAGAGACTGGAAAGATGACATCCGATGAGAAGGATGCAACGCCCCACAAGAAGTCTTCATAGTCACAGGGATGAAGGAAATGACATGGCTGACCATAGATGTTGCCAAGACATGAAGCTCTCAACCTGTGAGAACCTCATCTTCCCGTGATATCACCAAGTCTAGGAACTAGCGGCTGGCAACTAGTGAAAATATCACTCTGAAGGCCACTCAAATATTACCGTTCTTCAGGAATGGGTCGTGTAAATCACCATTCTTCAGGAATGAATTGTGTAAGATCCAAAATTGGTGGTAAAAAAAAATGTGGATCTGATTTTTCCCGCAAGCTTCAAAAGATAGAAAATGTAATTCATCCAGATAGCCTACAATGTGGGCCTCCCCAGTTATAAGTTGGTTTATAAGCCCCAGTAACTATAGTATAACATAGTATAACTATAGTTATAAGGACCATAAACCATAGTTATTGGAGTAATTTGCACCAACTTAGCTATCGTTTGGGGGCCCACTTTGTATCTTGGTCGAATTTTGTTTTTCACCGCCCAGGTACCCAGTTGGCATCGGTGGTGGCCGCCACCCCCTGGCCAGATGCCGATTTCACCGGTGATTTCACAGTAATGGGAAGAAAAAAGGGATGGAATATATCATGGGTATATCATGGGTATATCATGGGTATATGGTGGATAGAACATATCATTGGAACATGGATGTAGAAAAGGTGTATATGGTCTATGAACATATCATTGGTTTTGTCGGGAAAATATACACCGGGAACCATCGATTTTCCCATGAAAAATATGGGGCGTTCCGGCTAAAATTGTCCCTTAAACCAATCCATTGATAAATGGGATACTGGAATATCTCATGGATATATGGTGTATGGTCATCCATCCCATAATGGGAATCCAAGCATCATGGGCATGTGACTCTCTCTATTGATGGATTGATGACCATCCTAAAACATTGCTATCTAGTCTAGTCCAAGTTTAGACCATGGTTTCTGGGGGGTGTTTAATATTGGGGGGATGGGATTATAAATGCCTGAAATTCGTGAAAAAAATGTCCCTAGTTGTTGACCATCATTTTGATATGGCCCAACATGTATATACATTGTTTTCGGGACTGTACACACGGCTATTATATACATCCTTGTATATCCTTGTCATGGTTGCCAACAAAAAATCCACTGACTGCATGAAAAAGGTGATGCTGAACCAAATTTATGAGCAAAAACCGATGCTTAAACCCATCAAACTGTGGACTCCCATTGCATCCCATGGTTTGGAAAACAATGAACATCATGTTCAGAATTGGGGCCCAATTCTAACAGTCTCACAAAGCCATTTTTGGTTCATCCGTTCAACATAGCCACTCTGCAGGAATGTCTGAGGCGGTAATTTGATGGTTTGGAACCTCATTTTTCTCTTTAAAATTGCCATGTAAGGTGGGAGTAAATATCCCATGGGCAAACCCAAGTTTCAGATCAAAAGTCAAATAGGTGAAGTATTTCCTATCAAATACCTTCTTTTCCAGGTCATAACCCTTCAAATCCATTCTCAGTTTGGCAAATTTCCCATATTGTGTGTTTAAACACCGTGTTAAATCTTCAAGGTGTTATGAACCCACAATATGGGAAATAGGTGAATTCCTATATTGGCAAATTTTATATTGGCAGATTTCACCAATATTGGAACGAAAATAGGGAGATTCCCATATTGTTTTTATTAGTGAATCTCCCTATTTTCGTTCCAATTCCTCCCCGAAATCACCGCTCCGAACACCATGCGGAATCGGCACACCTTGGTCCGGTGCTTCTGCGGAAACATCTCGGCACAGTAGACCCATGCCATGCCGCCCCAGCCTCAGGATGTGTGTGTCCAATAAGTGGACAATGATAACGTAGTAAAAGTACTGACAAAACTATATTGGTAGTACCTAAATTAACACTGATAGTGATGAGGAAAATGGTGACGATGATCGTGATGGTGGTGATCGTGATGATGGATAATGATGATCATGATCATGATCATGATCATGACCATGATCATGATAATGATGATGATGATGATGATGATGATCATGATCATGATCCTAATCCTACTCCGACTCCTGCTCCTGCCTCCCCTTTCATTGTCCAGCAGCCGTATGCAAAGTTCAGAATGAAACCGCAAATGGCCAGCGTGGCTGTCCTTGTACCAGTGATGTTCGCGATTTTCGGACCAACTTGTCACAAAACTGTGGAGCCGATACATATATATATATATGTATACATATGTATATATATATATATTAATATGGGATCCCATGTACCACTTTACCTCCACAGAACGTGGCCAGCACTCAGGGGGAGGTAAAGTTTGCAACCATAAATTCTGGTGTCTGGAGAGTCTGGAGAAATTATTTGAATTTATTTGCACAATCTGTTTGCGCAACAATGTTCTACTCTGTTTTTATCATCGCAGTAGTAAGTCAACAACTGTTCCAGATATGTAACAACAATCATGAGCATGTATCATGATTCTGAATCATGATAAATGCTCATGATTCTGAATCATGATAAATGCTCTACTAAGACGACGAAATATGACACGCAAAATGTTTTTTTTCGAATCTGGCGAAGCCATGGGTTTGGATTTTCATCATTTTCCTTCCTGCTTTTCTGTGTCCAAAAAACCAGCAAACTCATAGGGAGACCATGAGAATTCATGGGATATACTGGAAGATAATATGGCTATTGGTCAAAACCCTGGCACCTAGTGAACCCCAAAATAGCTGGTAAATGGATGTTCATCCCATTAGAATTGATATTAATAAGGTTTTGACCCACCCCCATATGATGTAGTTGGATATACAATCGACAAAATCTTCACTATGACATTTGGAGATATCTACTGGGATTTCCCAGCCCGGTGTCATCATTGCAGCCGCTGGAAAATTCCCATGAACGGCTGCCATGGAGGAATTGTGATGGCTGGTGACAATGATCATCCTAAGAAAGGTGGATGGCTTAAGATTTTTAATCGTCTACCCACAATTTTAATGTTACCCTCTGGTAAACGTTTACATAACTATGGAAAATCACCATTTTCTAGCTGGGTAAATCCACTATTTCTATGGCCATTTTCAATGGCTGCAAGTTAAATAACCAGAGGGTATACATTGATGAGTTAGTTGATTGAGTGTTAGTTGATTGAGTGTTCATTGATCATTAAAAAGACAACAAAAAAACATGGGTCCAGCGGTACCCAAGACTCAAAATGTCCCATTACCATAGCTTCATGATGGCCATATCCCCATATTTTGGTCAGTTCTACTCCCATTCCTCACCCTGCCAAATTAGAAATAAACGCTAGCAAAGAGCTTTCATTTTTTGCATTCGATGTTCTAGTACTGGGGCATGATGGAATCTTTAGGCGACAAAAGCAACTAAATGGTCTCAAATCTGACCCCATACCTTGAAATTACATGTCTGTGAGCAAAATTTCAAGACTTCTAGACGAACTGTTTGGCTGGTCGCCATGTCAAAATGATTGCTCAAACAACCCATATGTTCTTCATATGATATGAATCATGGCTGTGTTGTCTTGCCCTCTCCATAGATTTCTGGTCCAAGATTTATGGTCGTCCAATCCATTTTCTAGGGTTTTGGGCCAGCCCCGTGCCAGCGCCTGATTCTCCAGACATATTTTCTTCAACAGGTCCCGTTGTTCTCCGGTCCCATGAAATTCCCCATGGAAATCCCCATGAAGTTCCAATAAGTCCCATTAAACCACCATTGAGCCACCATTAAACCATCAATTCAACCACCATTTTTCCCATCTTTTTGGCTGTCAAGGATCCACTTGGCCCAAGGACCACAAGTTCCGATGTCGTCCTCTTGCCGTGTAGCGTAGCTTCCAATGGCCACTGATGGATTCACCCAATGCCATTGGTCCAACTACCATTTGGGGATGGTTTTTACCATTTCGAGCTCAGGGATAAAAACAGGTCAAGTCAAGTGCACCTGCACTTGACATGTCAAGTGGGCGCGATTTTTTATAACGTGCGAACCGGTGGACTCATTTTTTTTTGCGGACAAAGTTATGAAACACTGACGGGCACATGTATTCACAAGCTCACGGACATTTGTCGTGAATTGGAGTAAGTACTGGTGTATATACATATATATATATATATATTATGTATATATTGTATATTGCATAATATGTGTTTTATACTGAGACTGACATGTGTCTGTCATCTTGACATGCAATTGTACTGACACATAGCCAGACATTAGACTGCCAGATGTAGTCATACATATATATATATATATAATCTGTATTTTATATATATAAGCTCTATAATATATATATATATATCCACAATATATTTCTTGACATTTGTCTGACATATAGACAAACATCTGTGTACTTGTCTTGTGTTTTTGGTGTGTACTGATTGATGCAGACCTCGAAGCACAGGTCTCCAATGGACGCAAGGACACCGGAGCAAAACATCATTCCTTGGTCGCCGGAAAGTTTCGGACAGGTGACACAACCGGTGTCCCATGGTTGAAAGCGAAGCTGGAAAACCTATCTGCAACCCGTGAAAACCCATGATTTTCCTGGCATGAAAGTGAACATCAACTCAGCGATGTTGATGTTTACGATCGTCGGGATCTCGATCGATATCAGATCTGGAATCGGCGTACCAAAATTGATCCTGAAGACAGCAAGTTTAGCATCGACGGGTCCCAAAAATCAAACTTTGGGAAAACCAGATTATCCTCGGGCCAAGATGACCGTCATAATGGACAAAACAAGAGGCTCTTCAGCATCAGTCATGTGTTTCGCACTGGGTACTAAGCCATTGGTTTATTGTGAAATTATTTTGAGATGAGCCATACCCAGCTTTCAACAAGTCCACCATGTTTTTCAGGATCCCATGTACTGACCATTGGGGATTTTTTTTAAACCATAGGTCTGGGTGAGACCCGTTGGCACCACTACAGCAGCTGTTCGTCCTATAGGTGAAAAAAGAATGTCAAAAAGGATCTTCTCGGTTGAGAGCCCATGTTTTTATTTCTTCACGGTGTTCCCTGTTCTGCATTTGAAATGGTATATTGTGAAATTTTCTGCGCCAGCAATCTTTCATTGTTTCATACGTCCACGCCGCTCTAGGGCGACCCACCCTTCTGTGTTTAACTTGTTGTGGCAAAAGATTTCTTGTAGCGAAAGTGGCTTGATGTTGTGGGTGATCTCTTGGTCTTCTGATTATATGCCCCAATACTTTTCTTCGCTTTTCCTGTAGAACATAATTTTGGCTGGTTGATGGTTGGTCCTCATGGACAAATCCCTATACTTTCACCAGGTACTCACCCACTATTTCATACTATTTCTCAATCAAAAAACACCCCCCAAAACCAGGATGGCTGTTGAGAATGGCCGTCTCCATCAGATTTGGCCTTGGAAAGCCGTCGCCACAAAACAAGACCACAGTCAACCCATAAATTTCCACCGTGGCACCAACGGCGGACCACTTCATCAACACCGTTCGGCCGCACTTGTCCACCAAGAAAAGTCCAGGGATGGTGGCGAATATGTTGACCACACCTGCTGGGGAATTATCTTGGGGGTTTCACCTTTACCAGGAAAAAAGGAGAAACCAAAATCTACCAGGAACATCTGAAATTTGGATTGAATCAAGATTCGATTCCTCATTTTTGCTGGTTGAATCCACCAGTGTTTGGTGCTGAAATATTTCCATGGCAAAACACCATGTGGACGCTACATTTAGAAGCGCTATATTTGATGCATTGAAGGTATTATTTCCCGCTCCTTAAAGTGCGCATTTAGTAAAGTTCCTTGTTCCTTTTGAACGCCTACGAGTTCCTTCACAAAGGACCATCTTGACGCGTCTAACGGCCTGAGACTAGGGTAAAAAGGCGCCCAGCGTGTTCATTGCCGAAGAGTTTGTCGAAGATCAAAGGGCCGTCGTACATGAAGGCGTTCCTAAAGGGCTGCTTCAGGCATCAAATCCATCAGTTGCTGGTGGATTTGGGCTACAGGGCTTCCAGGCCACAATTGTTCAAACAGGCACCAAATTATCTGTTGGAAAACCGCGCATTGACTGCTAAGCATCTCTAAACCAAAGGTGTATCTATAGAGTATAGAGGTTGTGCGACAAAATCTTGACAGATGCAACACCATCAAGAGAGACTTTGAAACATAAACAATGATTCAAAGTTAAGTAGATTGTGACAAACTGTTTCATACTGTCTCTTTCTTTTTGCATACCTCTTGATGTGGTCCCCTGGCTTTGGAAAATGTTTACCCCGTGTCGTAAACCCAATTAAAACACAAAAACAAATAGAGGTTTGTGAATTGGGAAAATGGATATACATCCCTCAAATATTTCATGTCCCAGGCATAGCTTGGGATGGTTAACAATGGGTTTCCGATGGCTAAACACCATACACTACCCATATCTACCCATCAGCCAATGTCACACATTATCCTCGAGCCGAGGCTCATGCCACAGAGTTGCTGTAAGAGTTGGATGCTGACGCCAATGCCCAGCAGTTTCACTGGGCGAGGGCTCGAGGCAAAAGGCCAAAATGCTGGAAGAAAATCTCAGGCTTTGGAAGTGACTTAAGCATCAAAAATCGTGATTGAAAACCAGGAGAAATGGTAATTTAACCAACCAAACAGCTGATTTCATGGGAAATCATAGGGATATCATGGAGATTTTTCATGGGGATATGGAAAAATCATCGGGATTATCACGCGGCAAACGTTGGGAAATCCCCGAACCAAACGGGGATTCTTCCATTTCCAGGCTTGATTATCAGATGCTATGGGTTTATCTGAAAATAGAATGCCTTTTTTTCTCCCATGGATCAACTCATCATTTTCCCCATTTTCCCCATCATTTGATGACCGTTTATTGAAACTATGACTTATGATACCCATGCTATAACCATTGCCTTGCGACTTGGATCTAAGCGGTTTTTTTTCATCCGATGAAAATCATGGGATCTTCATCCTCGACCGTGTCATTTTAGCGTCCGCTTTTGTGGATCAGTGAAGTACGACTGAGTATGGATACATAAGTAGTTTCAAGTTTCCAAGTTGAAACGACCATGTAAAACATTATACCATCATTTGAAATCATATAAAAGGGATAAAAGGGTTATTGGATCATATAAACTCAAATAAAGTCATATAGTACAACATAGATTCATGTTACATATGAAATCACATAAAGTCATATAAATCAATGACCCAAGCCGACCCGCCACCAAGGCGGACCAAGGCGCAGTTGTCGCCGGAGCAAAACTCGACCCAGGTGCCCTTCGTGGTCGAGTCCATCTCATGCTCTTGGCAAATCTCCGCCAGCTCTTCACGCACATCCTGCTGGAGCTGTTGGAGCTGCTGGGAGCTGCTGGAGCTGCTGGGTCTGGGACATAGTTCATAATAAATGTGGTACTGATGGTACATGTTTGGAAAACCATCTATCATCTATATACATAAAATTATATGATATATGATATATGAAATGATATCATATAGAACTGGGAGGGGTCTGACAAATCAACATGTACCAAAGAAATGCATACAAATGTGGTGTTGTGTCTCCAGGAAAAGGGAGGCGTCAGGCTTACCAAGGGTCAGGTTTCTCCAGAAGCATCCTCCATAGATGTGTGTTTCAACATGGGTGGAAGTTTAAGACCCATTGAGAAGCATTGAGTTGACGAAATGGAAACTACTTCATTTATCGTGTATACATGTATATATATATATATGTAAATGTGTATATTTATGTTTACATATATATATATATACATATGTATATATATATATATGTATATTATATATGTATGTGTATATATATATATGTATGTATGTATATATATATGTATGTATATATATATATATGTATGTGTTTCCCATTTCTCACTTGACCCACCATGTTCCCATTTCTTTCGCCATTCTTCCACGTGTTTCCCGGAAAATTTGCCCGGCCTCGCTGCGCAGCAACAACAAACACCTCAGCGCCTGCCGAGGCTTGCCTGAGGCTTGCCGTTGCACAGCTGGGGCTGTGGAGATCCTTCTGAATCAATGTGATTTAACATGATTCTGAGCATGAAAAATATTGGATTTCACCATGAATATAGGTGTTCTTCATTAAACTTGAGATGTTCCAAAGGAGTTGCCCTTTGGGTATTGCAAATCAAACAGGACATAGGAAGATCCCCAAAAGATCCCAAAAGGATTTTGTCCATTGTCAGGATAGATACCCTCCAGAAAACCATGTGTATATATATATATATATGTGTGTGTGTATACATATATATATAATATGTATAATGCATGTATGTATGTACAGTGTATATAATATATTATACATACACAATATATATATATATATATACACATAGCATAGAAATGGAAAACGCACCACTGGTGATGCGTACATCATTTTCCCGAATGCGTAGCAAGGGTTCCCGTTTCACTCTGGGGGTCTGGGGTTGAGGGTGTGTTCGCTCGACGTTGCGTTCACGATCGCAACCGTTCGCAACCGTTCGCAACCGTCCGCAACCGTTCGCAACCGTCCGCGCGATCCCCGTATAGCCGTGCCTATGGGAAGTTCTGCAGAGGTGGTCATTTTTGGAGGTTTCAGACGTGTTGTTGCTTCGTTTCGCGTGGCAGGCGTGGCACTTCGTGACATTCAGACGTGTTTTGCAACGTGTTGAAAATCGTTTTGCGTGGCAGGCGCAATACTTTTGTGACGTTTTCAGAAGATGTGTTGCAGTTTTCGTGGCAGGCGCAGCACTTTGGACGTGTCCATCGTCATTTTTCGTGGCAGGCGCAGCACTTTAGACGTGTCCTGTTGCCTTTTTTTTGTAAATCGCATTGGCAGGGCTGCGTCAAGTGGTGACAAGGTGCAAATTCCGTGGCAGGCGTGGCATTTTCTGACATGTGCTGAAAATTGACGGAAGCCTCGCACGAAACATCGATTTTGAGGTTGCAAATTTTCAGGTTCTAAGGAAAACTCGTAGGAAAACGTCGATTTTGCAGCTACAAAGTGTGAAAATTGGATGAAGTCTCGCACGAAATGCTCGTTTTGGTGCTCCCACCTGTCTCGTCTCGCGTCTCTGGTTCCCCGTGGCCTCGCCGTGTCTATGGGGGAAGCTGCAAAACTTGTCCTTTTGTCATGTTGCCAAGTGTGAAAACCGCCGGAAGTCTCGTACGAAATGCTGGTTTTTCTGCATCCACGTGTCTTGTCTCGAGTCGCTGGTTTTCCTGTGGCGTCGCCGTGTCTATGGGGGAAGCTGGAAAACCTGTCCTATTCGAATGTGTCCAAGCAAGTTGTCATGTCGTTTTGCATGGCAGGCGTGGCACTTTGTGACATTCCAAACTTGTTTGATAACGTGTCGAAAATGTCAAAATTGGAGGAAGTCTCGCACGAAATGCTCGTTTTTCTGCACCCACGTGTCTCGTCTCGAGTCTCTGGTTTTCCTGTGGCGTCGCCGTGTCTATGAGGGAAGCTGCAAAACCTCTCCTTTTCCAAGGTTTCCAAGCAGGTTGTCATGCCGTTTTGCGTGGCAGGCGTGGCACTTTGTGACATTCCAACCTGTTTGATAACGTCTCGAAAATGTCAAAATTGGAGGAAGTCTCGCACGAAATGCTCGTTTTTCTGCACCCACGTGTCTCGTCTCGAGTCTCTGGTTTTCCTGTGGCGTCGCCGTGTCTATGGGGGAAGCTTCGCACTCCACACTCTACACTCTACACTCCACACTCCACAATTTACACTTTCACTCCACACTCCACACTCTACACTCTACACTCCACACTTTACACTTTGCACTTTGCACTCCTCACTCCTCACTTGAGACTTTACACTCCACACTCCACACTTTACACTCCACATTCCTCACTCTACACTTTACACTCCACACTCTACACTTTACACACTCCACACTCCTCACTCCTCACTCCACACTCTACACTCCACACTCCTCACTTTACACTCCACACTCCACACTCTACACTTTCCACTCCACACTCCACACTCCACACTTTACACTCCACACTCCACACTTTACACTCTACACTCATCACTCATCACTCCACACTCCACACTTTACAATCCACAGTCCTCACTTTACACTCCACACTTCACACTCTACACTTTCCATTCCACATTTCACACTCTACACTTTCCACTCCACACTCCCCACTCCACACTTTAGACTCCAAACTCCACACTTTACACTCGTCACTCCACACTCTACACTTTACATTCTACACTCCACACTCTACACTTTACACTCTACAGTTTGCACTCTACACTCCACACTCCACACTTTGCACTCTACACTCCACACTTTACATTTTACACTCCACACTCTACACTCCACACTGCACTTTCCACTCCACACTCCACACTCCACACTCTACACTTTACACTCCACACTCCACACTTGACACTTTACAGTCCACACTCCTCACTCCACACTCTACACTCCACACTCCTCACTTTACACTTCACACTCTACACTTTCCACTCCACACTCCACACTTTACACTCCACACTCCACAATTTACACTTTACACTTTACACTCCACACTTTACACTCCACACTTTACACTCCACCTTCCTCACTTTACACTCCACACTTCACACTCCACACTTTCCACTCCGCACTCCACACTTTACACTCCACACTTCACACTTTACACTCCTCACTCCACACTCTACACTTTACACTCTACACTCCACACTATGCACTTTACACTCTACACTTTACACTCTACACTCCACACTTTACATTTTACACTCCACACTCTACACTCCGCACTCTACACTTTCCACTCCACACTCTACACTTTACACTCCACACTCCACACTTTACACTTTACACTCCACACTTTACATTCCTTACTCCACACTACATTCCACACTCTTCACTTTATACTCCACACGCCACACTTTACACTTTACACTCCACACTCCTCACTCCACACTCTAGACTCCACACTCCTCACTTTACACTCCACACTCTACACTTTCCACTCCACACTCCACATTTTACACTCCACACTTTACATTCCTTACTCCACACTACACTCCACACTCCTCACTTTATACTCCACACGCCACACTTTACACTTTACACTCCTCACTCCACACTCCACAGTCTACACTCCACCTTCCTCACTTTACACTCCACACTTTCCACTCCACACTCCGCACTCCACACGCCACGCTTTACACTCCACACTTTACACTCCACACTCTACACTTTACACACGCCACACTCCTCACTTTACACTCCACACTCCACACTTCACATTCTACACTTTCCACTCCGCACTCCACACTCTACACTTTACACTCCACACTCCACACTTTACAGTCCCCACTCCACACTCCACACTCTACACTTTACACTCCACACTCTACACTTTACACTCTTTTCTTTACACTTTCCACTCTACACTCCACACTCCACACTCTACACTTTACACTCCACTTCACACTTTACACTTTACACTCCTCACTCCACACTCGACACTCTACACTTTACACTCCACACTGTACACTTTACACTCTACACTTTACACTCTACACTCCACACTCTACAATTTACAAACTCCACACTCCTCACTCCACACTCCACACTCCTCACTTTACACTTCACACTCCACACTTTGCACTTTACACTCCTCACTCCACACTCTACACTCGACACTCCACACGCTACACTCCACACTCCACACTTTACACTCCACATTCTACACTTTCCACTCCACACCGCAGACTGGTAACAGGGGAAATATGAACAAGACTGTTCAAATAAACTATTGCAGAAAAGTGTTGTGCGTCACTGCATATCCATGTGTTTTGACATCTGTGCCATTAACATACGTGTGAGCATTCGGGTTTGTGGGCTTCATCTTGTTTTTTGGGCAACATCGGGCAACCATGGCTGTTCCCATCAGATCCGCCCCGTCATTTTTCTAGGGCCACAACAGAGCCTCGGATCGTGTCCGGTTTTTTATGGTCAAGTTACATGGGAGAGTTTCGTAAAACGATGCAATGACCAGACGACATAGTTTCGTTTAAAAAAAAAGTAAGATGGGGATGGGTCAAAACCTTGTACCCCTGGTGAACATCAAAATAGCTGGTAAATGGATGTTCATCCCCCTAAAAATGGTATTAATAGGTATTGATCCATAGCCGGATCTGAAACTGTGGTACTCCCAAATCCAATGGTGTTTCCAATCATTTTGCCATGAAGAGAATGGTGGTTCATCTTCATTTTTCCATCAGTGCC